TCTCTGTTAAGGCAACACTYTGAATTTTAAATCTCAGTAGTCAAAATTATTTCAACTACCAAGTACAGTTTATTAATGAGACAACATTCAACTTAGGATGATCATAAAGAAACAAAAACAGGTTTTAGACATTCAAATATAATTTTTTTTTTCTTATTGGAAGTCTGGGTTTAGCTGTTATTGGCCACTAAAGTTCCTTGTACCTAACAKAGAAAGTCAACTAGTAGTTTTGAACTTGAGCTTTGCATGACTCTTAACAATTGTGCTACATAAATAACAAGATAAACAACTATTTGTGAATAAATTTATATCCATCTGATTTTACTGTCATATTTTTAACCGTCTGACGACTATAATTGATGGTAAATGGACTGAACTTATAGAGCGCTTTATCAAGTCCCTCCGGACCCCAAAGCGCTTTACACTTACATTCACYCATTCACACTCWCATTCACACACTGATGATGGCAAACTACATTATAGCCACAGCTGCCCTGGGACACACTGACAGAGGTGGGGCTGCCATGCATCGGCACCACCGGACCCTCTGACCACCATCAGTGTTGTTGAATGAACAGTTTTTAAAATGTAGTTATTGTCACACAACATTGATAAGATTAGATTTAAAACTTGCATTTTTTTGTTTCTTTCCATTTAAAAAAAATCTTGTCGTTCTATTTTTTTTTCATTGTAAATAAAATGGTGTTGATGGTTCATGCTCGGTGCCTGGTCTCCTTGCTGTCTCRTGTTTCTGGAAGGTTTCAGGGCTGAACAATCAATCGTGTTGATTCTGCTTCGTCTCACAGATCCTACTGTGCTGCCTCCTCACTTTCAGGGCAAAACCTGCTGAGTATGAGGTTGCTCACTTGGCTGATTCTTCAAAGGAAGGAAGATAGTATAAGGGTACACACATTTCAGGTTTTTCTGCATCCCAAGGGCATTGTTGTGGTCTGGTCTGCAACTGTGTTGTGGTCTGGTCTGCAGCTGTTTAGAAAAAAAAGTTGATTTGAGTTTTCGTGTCCTCTTTTAATTGTGTTTAACCTATCGTCTGTGCCACTCCTTTTTAATGGGGGTGGGGGGAGGGGGAATCTGATTTTCTTAGTTTTATTTTTATTGTGGAAAAGCAATTGTTTCTCCAATTATGTCAACAGTTTCTGAACTCTGTTGCTTTCAAAGCTCAGTCCAAGTGTTGATGCAGCAGTACTTCAAGGCTCAGCCTTGTGGCTACAGATGGTTGTTTCAGCTGAAAATGCACAAATCTAATTTACTGTTGACCTGAGTTAGCGGAATGACAGCTTGAAGTATAAGGTGAAGTTAAAAGCCTGTTGAGTTCAGCATTCACTTTGTGATGCATTGCTGTAAGCACTAGAGGGTGCTGCTGCTGCAGAGGATGTTTGACTTTATGGTTACATAGTCCAAACATAAAAAAAACAACCTATTCTCAAACAAAAACATTTACTGAAAAACATTTATCCTCTCTGCACAGCTTCTTTGTGTTTTTCTTTTTTTTTTCCCTCATGTCCCAGTGGTCCACCCTCTTTGGATCTTTGACTCTCTTCCTTCCTCTCTATCAGTTGTCTGTTCTTTTTAGCCTAAAGTCACTTGACGTCTTTGCCTAATAACTGATTTTTAATTTAGTGTTAATTACTGCAAGCAAGATCCTAACTTGTAATATTTTGTTGGATTTCAACTGCAAATGTAAAAATTTAGATGCTGGATGATCAGGTTACACAATGTTTTTTTTTACATTTCACTAATCCATGCTGCARCTTCAAGCCGAAAAACCATAATCTATGCACTGTAACACCAGCAACTTATATATTGAGTTCTTTTTATTTCAAAGGCCATAATCAGTTGCTGTTTTTGCAAATTAAGTCATTGTTTCATCAGTCTTGGGTGTTCAGTCAGTAAGGCTGTCACAAMATTGGAGTTTCAAACTTCCAATAAAAAAACTAAACTCAAAGTATAGTTTGTTGATACCTGTTGGATGAAAATTGTTAAATTATGCATTAGTCTATTAAAATACAGTTAAAATAGATTGAAATATTTTAATGGCCATTTTTAAAATTAGTTGATTTTATGTTCAAATTCAAAGCAATAAMTATTTTTCAATATTAMACTAGTGAATAAGTAAATGGGAAAGTATATAGTATATACTTGAATTACATTGTAGGAGATTTTTTCCATGTTTCTAAAAATGGGGTCCTTTTTTGATAATCTTTAGGTTTTGAATGTGACTCTTGCGTTCAGTTGTTATAACTGTAGCTTGTTGCTTTCATGGATTGATTGATTTGGTCTTGTGCAACAGATTGGGAAAGCACCTCTTTAAATTTATCACTTGCCTCACCACCCACCCCATGAATTCATGCTAGCTACTGATCTGTGCACGACACATGCGCCCCCAATAGTAGTTCATAGATAGAAAGTGGGTGGGGGTGGCAGACTTCGGACCCAGTCAGTCTTTTTGTTCCAGTAGACCTGTTGGACAAGCCTACAAAACTCTGACCTTCACTATAATCTCATTCTGGAAAAACTTAATCAGAAACAGACTTAAAAGGAGTATTTTTTAAAGAAGAAACATTGAGGTATGTGAATTTATATAGATGGTCTTGCTGAATAAATCAAGATTAATCARTGTTGTTGGCATCTCTTGTATTTTAGGTTGGGTGTATTGTTTTTTGTTTAATGTTAATTATAAATCAAAGGCATGCCTCTCAAACATGTTAAGGTTAAAAAATCTATTTTGTATTAGGTCAAGGTCATTTTCCTTTTAGTATATTTTGGTGTAGTAGTTTTCAAAGACTTGAATTAAATTAAGAGTCTGTGCTCATTACTTTTATATTAATCCAGGAAGTGATGCAGAATAATTGGTTTAATGTTTTTGTTTCTCTGTGTACAAGTCAAAGAAATGATCTACGTGAGATTTAGATTGTTTGGGGGGGGGGGGGTAGCTCCGTGTAGGAGTGACTGACGACGGAGACGACAGTTGTTAATTGTACTGCACCTGCTCTGTCTTTATCAGGACACATGGACAGAAATAGAGCCCTGCCTAACAGGGCTGCTCACCCCGATTTATTTTTACACAAGGTTTTCCATTCATACTAATCCTACCTTCTTTTTAAAACTGGTACAGTTCTGAACGCAATAAAGTGTTTGGTTTACAAAATCTAAAAGGCAAATAGAAATGGGTTGATTTTAATTTATTTTTTAATCATATTTTAATTGTTTATCTTAAGGTGTACAATGGCATATATAACGAGACACTCACAGTGTGACTGACATTTTATCATCTAATAACACGTCCTGATTGTGGCAGGGATGGATGCATGAATATGCTCCAATACGTCACTGAATCAAAAAGCTCTGAGCGCTGAGTTTATTTTTACCCRTGAGCTCTAAATATACACAAGTCCTAATTCCCAGTTACCTAATTGGCTAAAGTTTGATCTGATTTCCGACTCTGAAGGAAGAGGCTGTGATGCTGTCACTTAAAACTGTTRCACATTTTGAGTGGTTGACTGTCGCTGGAAATTTTCTCAGCTGTTTCAAACTATGTGTCAGTCGCTATGATTTAAATGGTCCAAAGCAACTGATCTAGAGGTATGCATGACAGTATGATGACTCAGCGGTTAGCACTGATGACTCACAACAAGAAGGTCATTRGTTCGATCCCCGGTTCGAACCAGGGGTYTTTCTGTGTGGAGTTAGYACRTTCTGCAGRTTAGGTTGCCTTCAGGCCCAGGCCTTGCAAAAGAGATCTATTCAAAGGAYGTTGCAGTACAATCTACACTCACCTACAACTTAATTAGTTCACCTTTTCAATCTCTTAACACAAATAACTAATCAGCCGGTCACATGGCATCAACTGTGTATTTAAATTTCTAGACGTGGTGAAGATAACTTTCTAACATTCAAATTTAGCTTCAGAATGGAAGGAAATTGAGTTTAATGACTCTAAACAGTTTATTGGTGCAAGACTGAGTATTTAAGAAACTACTRATTAACTTGGATTTTCACACACAAACATCTCTATGGTTTAAAAGTAATGGTCCAAAAAAGGGGAGGGGGGATATAGATCAAGCAACGGTTGTGTGGAAAAAATGCTTTGTTGTTGTCATTGGAGAATAGAGAGACTGGTTCAGGATGATAGGAAAAACAAATTCATCTTCATATGGCATAACAATTTAACTGTCTTATTGYCATTAACCAGTGTCAACTGTATAACTTGACCCTACTGGAGTAATTATGGGAATAATTTTAATAAGTTTAGAAYATTGTCATTTGAGTTTGAGAAGAGCTTTAATAAAGCAGTGGTGCTTTTAAAGCAAACTGAAATAAAAAGGGCCAGTTTAGTTAGGGAGCTTTTCTTTTCAAGCTAATTTGTATCCCATGGCAGATTAGACTCGGAGGAGGGGTCATGCTTAAAGTTATTCAAAGAATTTGATCAAGCAGGGTCTTGGAACAAAGGTCATCTTGCCTCAGATACCAGGTTTTCAAGATAAGGTGCCATTGATYTGTGCAGAAGATTGAGTCAGTTGATTTATTCCTGATTTAATTAACAGATTCTAGGGATGTGGATGATCATCAAAATTGTGACTATTAAACCCAGGGTGAAGCGCAACAATGGATAGTGAGTTTCTGGCCAGCTATTGAAATGTTTTGTATTGAGTTCTAGCTAAATTATTTAAGATCGACAGCTCAGGCTTCAGTGTWCCTGTTCAGCACAGATCAAGCATTTTTAATTTGGCAGATGCTTCTTTGAATTCAGCTTTTGTATAATTTTCAGCTTTTGTGGAAGTTAGTGCATCTCATCAAGTACTGGTTCCTGAAGCCACATTTGGTTCAGTTTACCAACAGCAGCCTTGTGCTTTGCTCACTCTTTTCACATTGTGTCGACTTCAGAGAAAATTGAGGTTCAAGCTTTTCACGTGGTATTCTGAGTTCTCCAAAAACTTCCCATTCTCATGGATTATAGTTCCTTGGAAGGTGTTTATGGAKCTCCGGGGTGGGTGCAAATGACCAGAGACGGTGAGAAAAAAATTCCAATGCGGTACCTCATGTTTTTAACCAGATGTGTTGCATTTATAAGTCACACATGTTGTTATTTAACAGCTGAAGGTGTGTTTGTGTGAGCTGGCTTTGTAATGGATAGTTCCCCTGGGCTCTGTTTGAATCAGACAGATAAATGTTTTAGGTGCATCACATACCTCTGGGGTTACATCAGTATTGAGAAACAGATGGTGATGTATACTGGCACATATGCTTACTTATTAATCACGATTGCAGTTCTAAGTTTGAACGATATACAGTTATCACCTTAGTATTATGCAGTTACTCAAAGTATGTGAAATCTTTTTAGAAAATTAATTCTTAAGACAATTTTGAACTTTTTCTCTCTCCATTCCCATGACATGTTTAGATGAAAAAGTGACAGAAATCCATTTAAAATGTTCTTTCCACAGTAACCTTTCAGAAGTTGAAATGCTGACAGAAAATGTAAATCAGTTCTGGTAGCTGTTACCAAATATTTTTATAGACAATCATTCTCAAAAAGAAATAATTTGAACTGCTGAAATGCATTTTTTTTAACAATACAAATATTAGCAGATACAATTATCCAAAAATAATATAGATTGTCATTCACCACCAAAAGAGGCTGGGGTGTTTGTGAACACATCTCATTAACCACAGGATGAATTGTGATGAAACTAACAGACGGTGATCTTTGGATACATGTTTACAACAGACTGTTGGAGTCGGCCTAATCTAAGTTTCTGCTTGTTTTGAACAGAGAAAAAACATTCCTGTGGCTGATGCAGTAGGACAAATTTAAAATCCTGTAATGGGTTTCAAATTAAAAGTCCCTGGATAGTCAGTGCATAGTTGCTTGCTTTTTTTGAAAATGTAACCTTAAAAGTTAGTTTTTGGTCTCTGTGCAATTTAACTTGATAAACCTCTGATTATTCAGTTTTATAAATATAAGCTGACCACATGGTTTAAACTAGAAGCTCRACAGTTTCTTGTCCTTTTTAGATGTGTTGGACATTTATCCAACTAAAAAAGGTAAAGTGCCACCTTCTRTGGGTTTAAAGCAAGAACGTTCACAATAGAAAATCCTCGGAGGACAATGCAGGATAACATTCTAATCCCATGTCATTAGCAGATTGTCAGCCRGCAGATTTAAGCATAGGTGACAGATGAGATGGAGCTAATCAGTGGAGTAACGWATGAAATATAATTACTGACACTTGTGTTCAGGCAAAATGCTTAGGTTTTTAGATTTAAAGTATAGGGAACAGAAAATGTGGGCAGTATAAAAAAWWWYCYTTKRMYTTWAAWTT